GTGGCTACCGACCCGCGGTCCTGGATGAGAGTTTCCTCACTGCGATCATCGGGTGTAAAAATGAGCTAGCTCTGGAGAGCGAGGCCTTACTCATGTAAGCCCCAGATGACACTGCAACCGTCGCGGTCGTTTTGCTCGTATTTCGGCTCTGAGACGGCTGCGCGGAAGGCTAGTCGACTTTCAGTAATGTTCCTAAACTAAAATCAGCTGCATGAAGATTGCGTCCGGACTTGAACTTGAACTGACTGTTCATCATACTGCCAATCGAGTTTAGAAGTAATTATGCAGAGGTTTGCGAGTGCGTACATAGTAGATGCCTGAGGCAGCAATCCGCTCGTTCATCATGCCTTCAATGTGCCATGACCCACCCGGGTACTTGGGACTTCCGGGTGTCTGTAGAGCTTGTCAGAGAAACAGGGAAGCTACCAAGATACGACATACCAGGATGATGTTCGCAAGTTTTACAACAACCTGAATGTCCCGGTCGCGTAGGGAATAAGACGGCACCCGGATAAGTTGACCGGAGTACCAAGGCACGTGAATGCGGATGTTGCTTGCGTCTGTGCACCACTCATTGTACTTCTCATCCATCTCCTCTTGGTCTTCGCAGTCACTGTCCCTAGGTTCCCCCAGTCGTTCGTACGATGACACGCGTTGCGGAATTGGCTTGGCGAGGTCGGACAGCACACGCTCGAACAGCGGGACAAACGCGGTGACGATGTTCTCGATCGTCGAGTAGAGCGCCGTATGCTCATGAGCAAGGTTGTTGATGTAGCCTTTCGCCTGTGCCTTACCAGCCGCGTTTATGCTAAAGTCTGTCGGCAGCCACGAATGCTTGATCGAGGTCATTGGACTGGAGGTGGGTTTAATGCTGCTCCGTGGGCCGGACCAGGTCAACGGATTGATCAAGTCCGTCCAGAACCGTTCTTGTGGAGTGAACCGACGAGGGTCCGAAGCGAGAGCCTTCAAAGTCTTCGGAACCCATTCTGCATCGGTCGAAGATGCATCCTCCATGACTTGGTTCCAGATCCGGCGTGCCTGCCATGCTTCGTATTTTCTAAAATGGTGCGGAACTCGGCCCGTCTCATCGTGTGGGTGAAAGCGATACCTCAGGTGGCCCGGCACCATCAGCCTTGCCCATTCGAAGGAGTACTCGTTTAGGACATAATGCTTGATCACTTCGTTCCTGGTCGCGGCAGGAGGGTTCACAATCGTCTGGCCATATACGAATGGGTAAAGCGATGGATGGACGAGGTCGAGCACCAAGCCGTCACTACGAGGGTGCCAGTCCTTCTCGATATCCGGAACGTCCTCGAGGATTTTCACACCGTCACGCAGGACTTGTTGGACCTTCTCAGGAACGAGGCTGTCGGACTGCCAAACGCTATCCCAGCACGAGACCTGAACACACAGTAAGAGCGAATGAAACCGCTGATTCTCTAACTTACCTCTATTCCGGTGCTTGCGTCTCGCAGTGCCGCGTAGTCAAGAAGCTCGTCGAGCACAAAATCAGCCGCCACATTTACGAGATATGAAGCGTGCCCTGCTTCAGTAAGCTGCTGAACCATCTCACTCTTCCACTTGGCGCAGATAGCCTTATCTGTGATCTTGCGCCAGTATTCGGGTTTCTCGCGCAGCGAGGCTGAGAGCTGGCACATGTCCTGTTCAATCGCCTGGTGCATCGTCAAGATCACCGCACTGTTGAAACAAAAGCAGGCATACCATGAGCATTGGTAGACCATCTCCGTAATTCTTTTCTGTGTGGAACGGATGATAGAATGAAATGGTGGCTGACATTGTGGCGTGAGGCCAAGTCGGGTATGTTTCAGCTCAGTGCGGCCGGGGGCCGGTTGCCCGGACAGCCGGCTCCACTCTTTGTTACCACCAACTGGTAGCCCGGCGCTGATATGCGATCGGGTAAGGCAGACGAAAAACGAACACCTAATTTCTCCAGATTTATCGAGCCAACATTACTCCCGCGGGCAGGTTCTAGCAATATCTTCTGTCATAACTCGGAAAGGAGTGAGTATCGTACATTCCTCTCCCCAAGCAGATCGACGATTTGAGCCGCAATGCTTCGCGGAAGACTCTTGGAATCGGCCTCGACCGTGCGAATTCCGAGGAGATTATCTTGTATTGTCGAAGAAGAAGCGTTTCGAGAGTTGATGACGCGTATGATGCCTTCTTCCTCCTGCTCGAACTCCACTCGCTGGAAGCAGATGCAATGCAGCTTTGGCCACATCCTTGGCAGCCCAGTCTCTGGGATTATCTCACATAGCTCGTCAAAAACCATGTCGCGTCCGTGTCCATATGACAATCGCGGAGTGTGAGCTGTTCAATGTTGTTGCACAAGGCGAGAGACTGGTGAAATGGCTGTATAGACCGTAAATCTTCTAGCTCCAGATGCTGAATGACACCTGCAAGCTGTTGCGCGAGGCCATCGCTGCCAAGCGACCAACGGTCTCCAATGAAGTGAGCCAGTCGTGGCAGCCGTGGGGCCGTGTCCTGCTGAAGGATGAACTGGACCCCATCTCCTAATGCGGCAAGTTTATGCAGCTGTGAGAGTTCGGGAACTCTGTTGTCTGACGAGTTCGCCTGAGCTGAAATTTCTGAATTGAGACAGAGAAAGAGTTCCTTCAGAGACGGTGTCGCGCGGAGGATATCCCATACGACGTAGGGTTCCAGCCTGTCACGTTCGATCCACAGACTTTCGAGAGAATTGAGACCGGGATGTCTATCAGACAACGCAAATGGCGCGTTGTGCAATGACAACTTTCTCAGCTGCGGGGCATGTGGAAGGAATGTCGGTAAAGATCTGGGTGCATGAATGGAACTCCAAGTAACAGAGTCACCCGCTTCATCGAGAACACCGCTGAAAGAAAGGCACAAAGATTGGAGGTTGGGTGTTGGTGAGCGCAAGAGATCGAAGGCGAGATCGACAAGTGCTGAACGTTCCTCGATGGCTGCTCCGATGGTGATATTTGTAGGCGCATCAAGTACAAATGATCGAATTCGTGAAATATTATTGCGGAGAATGTCGAATATCTTCTCGTAACAGCGACTGTCGTTACGACGGTCATCGTCTCGATCAGATTCCTCATCATCAAGACTTGAGTCTCGACAATACTGCAAGTAGACATCCAAACCATGATTGCCAGAAAGTTCTGTGAGCTTTCTGATGTGATCGATGATTTTGGAGACGATGTGGCTGGGCCATGTGCTCGTATCTGAGACTGCAATCCAAGACCATAAAGCCGGCGTTCCATCCGCCGCTGCTTTCCATCTTCGAGAGACTGCCCGCAGACGGTAAGGCAGACGAGAACGATTACTTAGGGAAGGATCTCCTCCAGGTGCAGCGTCCGTCACCTTTTCGAGAAAGTACTGATCGATGTCGAATGCTGCAGCAGTTGCACCGAAGACTTGCTGCAACAGCTCGGGCGGAAAGTCGAGCAACTTTTCTTGAACAACATGGCGCCGTTTTACATTGATGCCGTCGCCGATACTTTCGATGCGCTCGTCCAGCAGCTTCAAGCGGAGGGCAAGTCCGTCGTGTCTGCGCTGCGCGGCCTCGAGTTCGAATCGCGCTTTATCTAGTGCTTGGCGCAGCCGACTGGCCTCGTCTTGGAGTGAAAGATGAATTTCCACGTCACGTCGAAGATCCTCGAAACCAGAGGTGTGCTCATCAACATTCATGATGATGGAAGAAGCCAAAGTCTAGAGGTATGCGATCGGTGGTTGCCGCGTGCGACATTGTCAACGACGCCAGTCGTCGGGTGGAATATCCATGGCTTCTCCGCGAACTGGTCCCAATGAAGTTGCGAAAACCCGTTTATTGTTCCTAATAATATAAGGGAGACGTGATGTACAAGACATCTTCGTCACCGAGGAGATTGAGAGCTGAGTAATGCACGGCGGAAAGGTTTTACGTTCAAACACTACAAGTTGACGCAACTGTAAAAACGTCTCGTAAGGTTCAATATTTACGAGCTTAGATATCTCAAGGTGTAAGATATTCGCAGCAATATCAGAACGGAACCAAGGTTACCAACCAAGTGGTTCAGGCCAGGCATCTGCGCGTAGCCCGTATCCTACTAGTGCTATATGTCGTGCCGTTGCCATTGAGCGAGAGCTTTGTGATTGTCGTTATTTGCTTAGTTGTTGAACAGTTCGCATAAGGATAATGAATACCTCGTCCAGTGACTGCTGCACAGAGCGCGCTGCCGAAAGCATGTTCTCGATAGCATGGGAGTACAAGGTCACGTCTTTGATCCGCAACTGCTGTAATGAGCTGAAGTCATGATACAAGACTGAAAGTTCAAACAGCATGCTGTGTAACAACAGCCGCTGCAGGTTTGGCAGCATTAATATGACCATGTAGTGCCAGAATAAGGGCTCTCCCTGCATATAAACTGTACATCGATAGTCACAGTGATTTCAGGCAGGAGTCGGAGATCGAAGGAGGTCGAGTACCGAGTCGAGCAGGATGGACCGGTCCGTCCTCGCCATGGGCACAAGCCCTCATTCACGTCTTTGAAAGACGAGTCCGTTCAGCTGCGCAAAGCCATTGCGGATAGGAAATTTGATTTGGAGGAGGCGCGGCACAGGCATGAGGTCCTTGCCCTCCGGTTGCAAACGGTTGAGTCTCGTAGGAGGGGTTGAACAAACTTTATCACGATATGCGGAGACACGTTTCAATCCGCGGATGGAACGCAGGCAAGGCTTGAGGACAATCCTCGATACGAAGTCATGTTTGATCTACTGCAGAGAAAGATCACACGTATTCGTTTGTTTACGCTTAACGCGGAGACTCTGGTTTTGATACGAAAACTCATAGAGACGGGGAGGTGGAAGGATAACGGCAAAACTTTCGAAGAACACCCGTCTTTGTATAATCTTTGTATAAGGGCTGTCGCAAACAACAGGTACTGAAGCCGCATGCGTCAGGAATGCTAAACGAGCCATAAAGATTGATTAAAATACAGACTGAAAAATAAAATATTTACGCCGTACGGGAATTGAACCCGTCCCGCTTGCTCTCGGTTTATGGAAGGCAAGCATGCTAACCACTGCACCAACGGCGTCTGCTGACGTTACTCCTGTTTGACCATATAGATAAGCAATCTAGGCTCACGCCATCTTCGCTCGCAATCATGTGCTGCGAAGCCTTCGCTTACACAGCCCGCAGGTTGCTCTCTCCCTCCTGTCAATGCAGCTGCAGATGTCCGAAACGCCAAAGCCACCCACGGACGTCGAGAAAGTGCTCGAAGACGAGATCAAGTAAGGTTGCTCAACACCAAATCCACATAATCTGATCGTAATATTGACAGAGAATGGCATTTCCGTGCGCCTCCACTCCGCCGTCAATGCTCTCCCTAATCTTCTTCAGATATATACTTCCACCAGCGTAATACGCGAGAGGCTGCGGCTGCTCTTGCGCTGCGCGATGCTGTTCTCCGGTTGCGACGCGACGGTGCCTTCGTCGCGGTCCCACTCTTCCGCGTCAACCATGGCCCAATGGGACCTCATCCTGCAGGTTCATACGAGATTTGGGTCCCGAAAGAAAGCTTCGCCAATGTTCGTTCGCATATTTTGTTTGTATGTGTGTATGAAGGTGCTGACTATCTCTTCGCGTCCTGGTTCTGGTCTACCTCTCATCAGGTCTTCTCATACCTTACGCTGAACCGAGGGGAACTCAGCGTGCTGGTTCACCCGCTCACTCGAGAGGAGGTATGATCGTTCGATAATTATATAGCAATGTATGCTGACCAGTTGCTTTTGCAGCGCAAGGACCACGACACCAGGCGCGTGTGGATGGGCGCAGAATGGGCCCTTGACCTCGATACTCTACCAAAGCTCTCGCGGACGGTTCCATCTCAGTACCACAGTCTCAGTACGTAACTTTGAACATCTTTCGAGAGTGCGCATCTGAGCACGCCTTCCTCCCCAGAACTAGGTTATTCGTCCGAAGCTAAGCGACCATCCCACGACGAGCTTCTGCGACGTGGACATGCGGTCGAGAGGGTACTGGAACACGAAGAGGAGGCCGCTCCGGCGCCGCAGGACTGAACCCTTGGTCATGGGTCACGACTTCTACACGCAACTTGTGCGGAGATATGTGGATGATTGCTTTCATCGTCGGAAGCTGGAGATTGTGTTGTACATGCGAGAAAGTCCAGAACGCGTGATGCCAGCTTCCTGCGGGAGAGCGCTCAATGCTCCTTGTCCGCAACGGGGAACTCCTTCCCGGTCATGGTCTTGTACTGATTACGAATCGCGTCGCTAATCTGCTCGTCCTTTGCCTGTTCGAGTGCAGATTCGTTGGTCTGTGAGCCACCCTTCAACACGTGCTCCTGCACCCAGTCAACGGCTGCGAAGCGTCGGCGTCAGTGATCGAAAGTTTGCAACAGCTGGTCTCACACGTACCCTTGTCGAGGCCGTCTTCGTTCTTCTCGCCTGAGGCACCACCACCCATCGCACCGTTGATCTTATCCATAAAGCCGCCGCCGCCAGTGGTCTCTTCCTTCCGCTCGACACCCTGCTGGTTGGACTGTTGCTGGTTGCCAAGGCCCTTGAGGAAGTCCATGTTCGTGTGAGGATGACGGAGAGCAAGTGAAAAGACTTTGTGATGTGGGAGGGAGAGATATGAGACACCACGTTGAGGGTGAGTTTCGCCTTATATGAGTGGGGAAGGCGGCGACAGTGCGTCACGCGATACAGATTCTGGATGAGATTGGCTGGGCGGCTATAGGGAAAGGAGCGGGGTGGCATGTGGCTTGACGTCACTATTCGTTTTATTTGAGGGTGCCATTGGAGATTCCTTTATCAGGCACCATCTCTTGGCTAACAAGATCCTCTAAGATGATCTAGACTTTGTTGCGAAACGTCCTTCCGAGGTGGCTCGCGTGTCAAGCCTTTGTGCATTTCCTTCGTTTTTGCTCTTGCTGTTTGGCCAGGGACGCATCAAGCCCGATGCTAAGCATTACAACTCATGAGACTCAGTCTAGTAGCTGTGATGATGAACATGGTCGAGCAGACGGACGGCGGAACAGACGGTGAAGGTCAAGGCGTCTCTGACCGGAGCTAGAACCTGACCTGACCTTTGTCCTTACATTCTCATGTCACATTCATATCGCGCTGAACTTGATGACTTACGCAGCGACGTTAACTCTCTACTGATTCTGGATGAGGAGTTGCTCCGCTTACACGATGATTGTGAGAATGCGGCGGCCGCGTTGCAGCACGCTCGACTCGCCTACGAAGGAGCACAAGCGCAACGGCGCTCTTTGCACGCAACAATTACCACGAAACGCCAGCGAGTGATTGCAGCGGGGATAGGCGTCTTTCCTATCGAAATGCTTCAACGCGTTTTCACCTTTGCCGCACTCAATTACGAGTACTTTTTTCCAAACAAGTTTAGCGCGCTATCATCTCACCTGTACCTACTACTTTACTCCTCTGCGAAGCTGCGTCAGAGTAACCGCGCTCTCCTCCCGTATCGACTGCGCAGTGTGTGTCGGCGCTGGAGAGATGTGGCAGACAAAACCCAGGCCCTGTGGACATTCTTTGCTGTTCCAGATGCGCTCACTTGGGCCAAGGAGTCCAAACAGAAAATGTTTGCCCACTTTGCACGGATTATTGCTCGCTCTGGCGAGCATCCGTTGGACGTTTTACTTGTCTATGACCGACACGAAGGCGAACGCATCACGTCCGTGTGCCAACGCCAAGCTCAGGCTGCTGGTCAGGATGAACGGAAACTCGACCAAAAAATCTATGGCAAAATATTCGATCATCTGTACGCGTGCTCGCATCGTATCCGCAACTTTGGCGTCTTCGCGCCCACGGTCTTGGTCGTGAATGCGGTGTCAAATGGTCAACCTCTCCTCAATCTCGTCTTGGATCTGCTGCGCCTACCCTTACCAATTCTCACATCTCTCTACCTAGCGACTCGAGGAATATACCTTCCCGACGGGACTGATGGCATGTGGACCTTCCAGAACCATGATAACGGCGGAACGATACCACTACTTTTACCCGAGAGTCCTCAACTCGAACAAATCGCTGTAGACCGCGTACCATTTCAACTTCACCCAGCGCATCCGGGCCTAACAGGTCTGCGGCGCATGTGGGTGAATTACGAGCGCATCGATAAACCGGACATCCTGGTCAACATGTCGCGGGCTGCCTCGAACATTCAGCTGTGTAGTATGGCGATTCGGGATAGCCCCAAAACCCTGCTCACGTGCAAAGGCTTCCCAACATGCCTTCGTTGACCACGTTGGAACTATCAGGCAAAGGCACGCGTGAATGTCTAAATCCCAATCATGCACCTCTGGTGCCAAACTTGAAGAAGTTCGAAGGGGATGGCGACTCACTTCCAACGTTCAAATTCCCGGTAGCCATGGCCAAAAAACTGACTTCCCTCACGCTGGTATCAATCTCTGACTTTTCGCAGTTCATGAAGGTCGTTCGATCTTGCAAGAATCTCCAATGGGTCACACTCCGGCAGTCTGACATTGACATCAAGGCTTTCTTCAACGAATTGGCCGAAATTGACATCAGTTCCCAGCATCCCAAGCTTTGGCCACGACTGACACATATATCTCTCGATGGGATCGACTGCAGCAAGGATGATGGTGGGATTTTGCGGGCGGCGAAAGCCAGAGCTGCTGCCGCTCTCGCGCGAGAGAACCATCCAGCCTGGCAGATTCGCTCCGTTGCGCTAGATCGACGTGTAGTGCCGCGCAGCGTCGAGAGGCAACTAAAGATACTTCTTGGAGACACAAACGTTTACCTGTATTGATATGCGTATCACAGTATGCACAAATATCCGTGCGGCCTAGTAGTCGTTGCATTGTATTATTGGATTTGTGCCTAATTATTTGTACTTTTGAAACCAATGACCTGTCCGCGGCCTCCAAGCTGATGTCTAGGGGAGTTGTCGCCTTCTCAGGGCTGTGTTCGGCGCTCAAGGTGTTCACCTGCTTGGACAGCAGCGGCCGCGGAGGATCGCGACAGTTGAGCATGCTTCGTTACAATTCGCCGCACCTGACCAAGCTAAGGCAGATATAACGAAATATGGTGACTCCCAGTCTTCTGAATGTACCTACTCTAAAAAGTTGACGTGAGCTGACACGGGACTTGCCGTATTCGTGATGTCGATCGGCGCGCGCGGCTCTGACACACGCTACCACCACGCGACAAGCACTTCGCGGCGACCATGTTCGGCGATATTTTTCCCGGTGGCCATGGCTTTACCGACGTCTACAACCTCGTTGAACATGCTGCGTACGGTGCGTAGTCCAATCATCCAGGGATGATGCAATTGCTCATCAAGTTAATGTAAATTAGAAATGAAGCCCAACGAACTGCTCCTCATGGACAACTTTGGCTTGCAAGATGCCATGTCCGCGATCGAGGTGTGCGCTTTCCGCTTATGATGCGACTTGGGGCCTAAGATCTTGCGCAAGATCATGGATGAACGAATGGACTCGGGCACACGGCCGCCAGACACCACCTTCAACCCAAGCACGTTACTGCTTCCGCAAGAAGTACTATGGATCCTTGATAGGACCTTTGCGGCAGAGGTAGGTTTTGGGCCGCCGGACGCGCTAGAACCCGCTGACGCCACATCTGCGGCGTATAGATGACATGGCATTCTGGATCGTCGCTCGCCCAGTCCGTTCTCACAATCCAACACATGCACCATATTCAGAAACTGCATCCGGATGTGCTTCCCAGGAGAAAATCGTCAAGTTGGGACAGGCGGCCAGAGCACGTTGGCCTCGTCTTGCGCGCCGGTGTGTTGGCGTTCGTCAAATGCATCGACCTGGCCTGGCGGGAGCTTTCCAAGAATAATGTACACGATGTAAGCGCATATTTCTTCTGTGGGTTGATTTCTAATTGTTCGCAGGGCGAAGATTGGCACAGCGAAAAGTTTGAAGTTTCTCTGTGTGAGGCGGTGGCGTCAGCCACAGTAGTCGATAGTCTTGATGAGGCGCTGGCGTGGCTTCGGAAAGAGCATCGCTACATCAGCATGTCACCTCAACCTACACAAGGGGAGCAAGATCTATTGTTGTGGTAT